GGCAGCATTGTGAAAAGGCAAAAAGTCGAGTAATCTCAAGCGCATAATCCAGGTTTTTGCTATATTGACAATCTTCCCCTAATGAGTCACTTTCTCTGGGCCAGTAGGTAAATGACTGCAGAAATATCACTAAATTGTAAGGTACCCATCCAATAAGGAAAACAACCATGAGAATAAAAATTAGTTTCAAAGTTTTGTTTCGTCTTCTTTGTACAGGATGAAGCAACCTGCACATGATATGAGTGTAGCAAAACATGAATACCACTGAGGTAATTAGAAAGAGGATGTTTTGCTGGTAGATTCCCCACAGGCTCCAAAAAGAATTAGTATATACACAGTACTTTGACTCTGCAACTTTGGTGGAAGCAAAAGCTAGACTGGAAACCAGGATGCTAACGACCCAAATGATCGCAGACGCTACAATACTGCAATACCCTGTGGTGGAAACAATGTCAGACAAAGGATTTATAACAGCTATATAGCGGTGAGCAGTCATCAGGATGAGGAGGATACCGCTGCTGTAGAATCCAAGGCAGAAGATAAAGTTCACTATTTTGCATGCATGCTCTCCTAAGGTCCATCCGTGCATGTTGTAGTAGGCCCAGAAGGGCAGAGAAGCTGTGAAGAAGAGATCTGATACAGCCAGATTCAGAATGAAGGTGTTGGTGAGGGATTTCAAATTCTCAAACTTGACCAGCACCACGAGGACCAGGATGTTGCCAAAGATGCTGAGAATCACCACAATGGAGAAAAAGACTGGAGTGAAGATTGCTCCAAATTGGATGACACCTGTTTTGTTGCAGAGTTCATCGTAGTCATAATTATAGTTGTACGAGGTTGAGTCAAGGCTGGTGCTGATAGTATCTACGTTATCCATTGTATCCACTTTCTTTCAGCATAAAGAGAAATTTAAAAAAGGCTGTTAGACAGGTAAATCGAGTAGGTCAAATTTCACAGTCTTACTTAAGGACTTATAATATTATAAACCTTTGTTAGACAAGGCTATCTAACAAATATTAGCTAATGGTCTTTGACTCTGTATTTGGATGCATATCTCACTTTTCTCACTTACTCTCTATTATAATATTTAACCAAGGATACATTTTAAAAGTTATTTATATTTATGAACTTAAAAAAATGTATTTATGTAGTATATTCTATGCACTGATTTGTGTTTTTTGACAGGCTTTTATCAAAGAAAACATCAAAGAAGAAATGCAGCAAACCTAGAAGCTAGCAAATAAAAACTAATCAAGGACTGTTTGTGACTGAGCCACTTTTGTGTATATTTAGTTATTGCAGTGGGTACAAACTGGCTTGGAGAAACATTGCAGGTTGAGAAGGTACAGCACATTGTGAATTGCCTGACCAAACAGTCTGGTAGAGAACCTTAGAGAAGATGAGGGGCTCAAAGCTTTAAACATAAACCAAAACTTACTTTACCTTTTCAC